TGGAAGCATCTGAAAGACCAATCTGTCAGGCTACCTGCTCTCACCCCAGCCCCGAGAGCAGGCACCCAGCCTGGGCCTGGCATTCCAGACACCCTGGTCTCCAGCAGTGCACCTACATTCTGAACAGGACCCATCAGGAACCTTTCTTCAGACTTACACTGGACCCAGGAGACACGCCTCCCTCTTGTGCCTGGGTTTCCCAAGCTGGGATGATGCCAGCCAGGAGCTGTGGAAGCTGTCATCCCCACGAGGTGGAGTTGGGGGTCCTGCTTTGTTGTTGTTGTTATTTGCCATCGAGTCGGCCCCGACTCATAGCGACCCCTCCTTGGGTTTCCGAGGCAGTATCACTACAGAAGTAGGATTGCCCAACCTTCCTTCCGAGGAGTGGCTGATGGGTTTGAACCACCAGCCTTCTGGTTAGCAGTCAAGTGCCTTAGGCACTATGCTACCAGAGCTCCCAGGGGTCCTGCTTAGTGGGTGAGAATGTGGCCTACACAGCCAGGGGTCGAGCGATCTCCAAGAGTGTTGTGTTGACCTTGCTTGAAGCAGCACCAACCTCCTGGCACATCCCAGCTAATGGAACAAGAAGCAAGTCTTCTCTTTCCTAGCTGATCTGGTTTGCTGGCAGCTGGGAGCCCCAAGTCCCGAGTCCTGCACAGAGGTGCCGTCAGGAGCGGGAGGGTTGGAGGGCATGGGGAAAGGGGGGATGGACACAGTTTGGTGGAATCTTCTTGTCACAGTAGATGAAAATGTTGGAATCTAGCTAGCAGTGACGTCATGCAACACTGTGAACATACCAAATACCACTGAATTACATACTTTTAATGGTTAATTTTATGTTATGTCAATTTCACCTAAATTGGGGGGGGGGAGTTGGGAAACAGCAGACCTTAAAAATAAAGCTGCCCCGGGAAAGTCAAGGGGGCTGGGAAGTAGGGAGTCAGGCTGCAAGGGGTCAAGACAGTCAGTCAGAAGGCCTCCCCTGGCCCTTCCTGCTTCTCTGCCCAGAGGGCACTTGTCTGAGGGCTCTTACTTATACATGTAATGAAACAAAAAAGAGCAGGGCAGGCCAGCTCAGATGGGCCAGGCAGCTGTCCAGGGCAGGGTTCCCAGCTTAAGGGGAGAGCAAGTGTAGGGTGAGGGGCTGGAGTGACCCGCAGCCAAGAGAGTTGGTACAGGCCAGGGTGTCTCAAAGGTGGGCTCAGCCTCATGAGCCAGAGCTCCTCGAAGACTGGCGATCAGGGAGGGAGGGGACACACTAGGGCAGTGCTCGGGAGAATATGCACGAGCAGATGCCGGGACTCCCTGAGTGGTGCAAACGGGGCTAATGCACTCACCTGCTGGCCGACAGGTGGGAGGTTCGAGTCCACCCACAGACACCTTGCAAGACAAGCCTGAGGATCTGCTTCCAAAAGCTCACAGCCTTGAAGTCCCACAGAGGACAGTTGTCCTCTGCCCACATGGGGTCACCGTGAGTCGGAAATGATGTGCCAGCAGCTGGCCGTGGTGCTGCAGTATGAATGGAAGAGAGACCAGCAGGGAAGCTGGGACAGCCACTCATCGGAGGACAACCGTGGGCTGACTCGGGGCCCTGGAGAGTGTGGGGCGTTGGCCGAGGAAGAGCTTTGGGGCTGCAAAGCCAGAGGGGGCGCTCTGTGCGTGGCAGGGAGCACAGGATGAGGGCTCTGTGCCCAAAGGGGCAGAAACCCGGGGCAGGCTGGCATCAGGTGGCAGAGAGAAAAGGAAGGACGGACAGGGAGTGGGCGGAGATGTCAGAGGACAAGTGGAGAGACTGCAGCCTGGGAAGGAAGGGGGACGGGTAGAGAGGAGAGGCCACCGATACAGCCCCCTGAAGCTGGGGACTGCAGGGGGCCAGGTCCTCCTGAGAGCTGTGCCCCAGGGCCTGGACGAGGGGAGGCAGCAGGCACAGGCCTGAGGGATGTGACTCCAAGGAAGGACAGACAGGTAGACACATACAGGTACACGTGGGGACACATACACACACGTGAACACAGTCCCAGCCACATACAGAAGCAGACATACACAAACACATACTCCAAAATGCTCGCTCACATGTGTACAAACACACATGGCAGAGATGTGGATGACACGGCTGGTGTTCACACATGCACAGCCAGCCACCCCTATTGTTACACAGATACTACACAACCACACAACCATGCTGGCCACAGTAACACTTACACACGTTAGATCATCACACATACACGTTCTTGCCATAACAGACTTGATAAAGATACACAGAGACCTACACTGCCCGCCAGCACAGTCCTGCACGTGGACACCTGTCCTGCACTTGGACACCTATGCAATACATGTACCCAGGTGGAGCCGGGGGGGGGGGGGCAAGCCCCTGAAAAGGAAGCTCAAAGCCCCAGGGGAAGCCCAGCACCAGAGCCCGCCTGGGAAAGTGAGACACAAACCACGACCATTGCCTAACACACGTATCCTGCCCCAGCTGGGGTCAGGGAGGAGCCAGGGCCAGGCTCGCGTGCCTGGTCACGTGCCCGTTGCCACCGGCAGCAGACACCCGGCCACAGACGCAGACAGTGGGGATTGCAGGGCATCTTGCAAAATCATGCCCATCCCTCAGGGTTCAGCTCAAGTGTCCCTTCCTGCAGGAAACTCCCTAGGCTCCTGTGGGCAGTCGACCTTCTTTTTTGCATTCTGGTTCTGCAGGCCCAGTGGTGTGACCTTGGGCCAGTCACTTTACTTCCCTGTGCTTCCTTTCCACCTGTGTCAAATGAGGATAATAATAGCGGGTGTTGAATACATGAAGTAACGGCGCACCACACTCTCATGTTTGGCTGAGATCGCCAGGCCAAATGAGGAAGCAGTTACCTGCACTTCCAAGACAGTGAGCTGCCGATTCCACACCCCAACACCTCCAGCCTCAGCGCTCCTACTTGGGTCCTTTCCACCAGGTGGGATCCTGGGCTGCCAGGAGCATCAGGAGGTCACACAGTGTGTGCCCCGACTTCCACATGGGACCCAAGAACCCAGCTTTGGGGTAACATGGGCAGGTATGTGGTCCCACCTGGCAGGGCTAGGGGTGAGGTCTTTAAACTCTGAATCACTGCTCAATAGCTCTGGTGGTGCCTAAGGCATTTGATTGCTAACCAGAAGGCTGGTGGTTCAAACTCACTGGCCACTCCTTGGAAGGAAGACTGGGCAATCTAGTTCCATAGAGATACCACCTTAGAAACCCAAGGAGGCGTCACTATGAGTAGGAATCGACTCCACGGCAGTGAGTTTTTATTTTATTTTATTTTATTTTAAATCTCTTAGGAGGGCGAGACTTCTGGCAAGATGGCAGAGTAGGCAGACAAGCTACACAGACTCTCTTAAATAAAAATCTCTTAGGACTTTCACATCCCTTCTCAGCTGACGGTTACCCCGGGCACCTCCCAGGCCCTATACCCAGGTTGGTCTCAGGGTCTCCCCATCTGTCACCCACTGAAGACTGAGAGCTGGCCCAGTGACCTCCAAGAACCACACACAGACATGCCTATACATGTGGCAGATACACATGGGCACAGTGACCACTAGGACTGGGTCCAAGCCAGACCAGCCCACTGAGGCATGCCAGCGACCCCTGATCTGGGCCAGCCTCATGGGCAGCCTTCCAAAACTAGCCAAGGCCCGATCAGAACTGGCATGAGGGACCTGAATAAGGCCTGAGGCACTTGGAGACCCGGGATGACAGAAACACTCAGACAGTGACTCGCAGGCAGACAGACAGATGTGTCTAGACAGGCTCCCAGAACGACATGGGGCCAGGAGCTCTCCAGCTGCAGGTCAGGTCGTCCTGAGAATCCTGCCTTCCCTTAAACTCAGGCTATGCCCCAACCAGGATCCAGACACATCAGGGGGAGTAGCCAAGAGCTGCTCAGTCCCCAATCCCCTGAGATTCCAATGAAACGCCCCCTTCCCAGAATCAGGGTTACAGGTCCTGATGCAGCTGCCTCCTAGGCCTCCAGCCATATGGGGAAAGTGAAGCTGAGAGGAAGGGGCTGGCACCCCCAGGTCTCCCCACTGACTCACCGGGGCTGTGTTCTTAGCTCCTCTGATCTGTAGCCTGAGGCCCCAGGCTCCCGTTCCCAGGGGCAGGCGGGCGCACTGCCAGAGGCCGGGCCCCTGTTCTGGCTTTTCTGGGGAGCCGCTGAGATCAAGTACACCGAAGTCACACCCTTCTTCCCTTCCCCATTGCGGGCGGGTCTGGGCTGAGGGCACCTGATAACCTCCCTGGCTCATCTTGTGGGGCCCCCTCAGGCCACAAGGGAACGCCAGCCTTGCCGTGCACAGGAGGCAGCCCCTCCTCTCTGCCAGACAGGAAACTGGGCCCACCCAGTGAGTCTCTGGCCCATGCTCATGGCCACTGAGGGCAGAGCCGGCTCAGATGGGCTCCGGGCCCATCCTGTTCTCCCACCCGTGCGCCTCAGCAAGGAAACGTCCAGTGTAGATCCCTAGGTCTCTTGCTCCCAGCTAGGCCCCCTCTTACCGCCAATCCTGCAGGACTGTTAGTGAGGGACAGACTGATGAACTCAGGTGGCGGGCCAAAAGAAAGCAGGCAGCGGCCTGGAAGAACTGCTCTGGGGCATTCCTCAGCAGGCCAGCCACACCCAAGGGGCCAGAGAAGCAAAGGAGACCTAAGCGGGAAAGTCTGGGAGTCCCTGACCACATTCAGAACCTCCAGTTATTCTGAAGGCAGTGAGGAATGAAGAAAACCGCCGGTTTGGATCCACACAGCCCTGGGTGGGAGTTTTCTGGTCACCATGTGACCCTGGCAAGCCACTTTACCTCAGTGCCCTGGGTCTTCATGCGGACAATATAAACAGGACGTGTAGTGTTCACAGAACTGCAGGAGAACCAAGCAAGGCCAGCCAGCCCCAGGGCCTCGGACAGGCACAGAAGGACCCTGAAGAGGAAGTGTGGCCAAGACCCAGACCCAGATGGCCCCCAAGGACCACAGCCCAGCCCAGTCACTACAAAGTCTTTTATTAACAAGTCGATAAAAAAACAAGACAGAGAGAGATGCAAAAATACTTTCCTTAAAGGCCCTGGGAGGGCGACACTGTCAGAACTTGCCTGACCAGGCAAGACCACCCAGCCAGAGGCAAAACAGAGATCAGGGGCCCCGTCTAGAGGCACAGCGACCCAGGGGGCTGAGGGGGTGGCTCGGGCCTCAGGCAGGAACTGTGCAAATGCTGAGGCCACGCAGAGAGTGCTGGGTGGGGGGCTTCTGGGTGGAACCCCTGAGCACCGTGTTCCCCTGTGTGGGCAGACACGCAGTTGGGCCAGCACCTTCCTACTCCATGTGCAGATGTACACGTGTGTTCAGGTGAGAGCCGGCGCCCGCAAGCAGCTTACATACAGAGAGTGGAACGAAGGGTCCCCCAGCAGGAATGGGGGTATCGTCCCAGAGCTTGAGGAGATAGCTTAGAGAAGACCTCAGAAGCCTGAGGGGTGGCGAGTGGAGAGTGTTCCCTGCCACGGGGCTCAGGAGCCCAGAGCCTCCTGGCGTCGCTGGAGCACCTCGATGACATTGCCGATACCATCCTCAGGCACCTGCAGGCAGATGGTCAGAGCTAATGCAGACCACGGCTGCCCTGACTTGCAGGCCCAGCTGGGACTATTTCCTGTCGCCCACAACACACACACCCTTCTGGGCCTCACTGTCCCTCTGGGAGCCCCGCTCCTGCCAATGGTGCTCACCAGTGCATGGTCAAAGTTAAAGGTGCTGATGTAATAGGCAGAGATGTCAGCTGCGGCCAGGGGGCCCGCGATTTGGGCTACGATCCCACATTCGTCTGAAGGTTGAGGAGGGGCACAGGTGAGTCACCTGGCCCCTCAGAGGCCCTCTCCAGCCCCAAACAGACAACAGCACCCCTCACCAAAGCCCAGTGGCTGCCCGCCGATGCGCACCATCCTCCAAAGCTCCCCCGAGGAGCTGGTCAGCAGCAGGTCACTGGGAAACCTAAGGGGTAGTGGGTGGTGGGCAAGGCATCCTTAGTCCTTTGTGTCCAGTGAGCCCCTACACTGCCTCCCTCCCTGGGGCTGGCTTAGGGTCTGTGGTACACCCAGGGTTGGGCTGGAGGAGGTCACATACTTTTTCTGGGTCTCAGCATCCATGACGATGGAGATGTAGCCCTCAATGAGGGAGAAGGCAAAGAACGGGATGCAGCTCGGTTCAGGACCGCCAGTGGCTGCCTCCTTGGGGGCACTTGGGAGGGACGGAAGGCTCAGGGGCTCTGCTGGGCACATAGCCACGCCCATCAACTCCCCATCAGCCTCCTGCTGGTGCAGGAACTGGCACCATACCGCCCAGGGCAGACCCTCCCATCTCCGAGGTACTTTGTTCCCCTGCCCAAAGCCCCAGATGGCATAGATGGGGCACCCCATGTAATGCCAAGACGTAGGATCCCAGGGGTGGAGGGCCTGACTAGGGCATGGCTCTCGGGTGTCTCTGCTGACAACACAGGAGAAGGCGCCAACCACATCATCAGGGGCCTTCCTCAAACATCAGTGGAGGGCATCTGGGTGTCAGGGGATGCCAGGAACCCAGAACAGGGCACAGAGTTGCAGGACAGAGAGATGGCACGTGGTGGGATGAACACAGGGGACAGCCAACAAAGGGCTCACCTGTGCGAGTAGAAGAGGACATCTATGAGCGTGGTGGCGATGGCTGGCAGCGTCTCAGGGTCCAGTGTGAGGACACAGAAGCGGTTCTGGGGGCTCTGGATGGGATGCACTGTGGGGCTGGGCCCTGCTCGGAGAGGGACAAGGCGAGCTGGTGAACAGGCAGCTGTGGGCTGGGGCGCCCTCTGGTGGCCAACTCAGGGAGGTGCTTGGGCCAAGCATGAAGTCACGCTCTCTAGGAACTGACCTGGGTTCTTGGGGCCCTGTCTCCCCACACGCGCACAAGGGAAAAGGGAAAGGGCCCCAGTGGGAAGAGGAGACGCAGCCCGTGTGTCTGGGGGTGGCCCTCACCATGCTGGGCACGGGGAAAGCCGTTGCTGGACTCATCCCTGCCAACGGGTACAGGCTCCCCGCCCACCTCACGGTAAATGTCGAACTCCTGGGCCAGCGTGTGGATCACCACAGAGAGATCCTGCTCCCGTACCTGGCCGCAGGGAGGTGGCACGTCACGTGGGTCCCAGGCCCCTGGCCCGCCCTGCCCTGCCGTGGCACCCGTGCAACGCTCACTAGGATGAAGTCCGTCTGGTAAGTGGACAGCATCAGCACAGACACGTGGTGCTCAGCCAGTGGGGTGATGACCGAGCGGGCGATCTTGGTGACCCCGGCAGCCTGCACTGCTGTAGCTGCACCGCTGTGGGACGAGACGTTCAGCACCAGCCATGTGGCCTCAGCCACTTGCAGGAACTGGGAGGGGGGCAGCTCTGTGGGTGGGGCCACACGTCCAGTCAGGGTCCACCGAGCCGGCCCCTGTCCCTCTCTGAACCTCAGTTTCCCTATCTGTACCTGGAGGGCCCTATTAAGGGACAGGCAGGTCTGGAGACTGAGGCTGACTCCACCCCCACCCCAAATTTTACTCTTGAGATTCACATGTACTCAAGGACTGAGGAGAGCTTAGGGGGCTGGCCTGCTACGGATTGAAGCATCCCAGATAGACCTGGGTGCAAACCTCACTTTCACCATTTACTCACTGTGTAACCCGGGGCAAGCGACTTAACCTCTGTTCCTGTTTCCTCATCTGTAAAATGGAACGACAGGATACCTATCCCACAAGGGTATACTGAGGGTTAACAGACTCTTTACACCGCATGGTACCACCAGGGGGCGCCAGCATACCAGGTTGGCTGTGGGAGCCCGTCCCTCCCTCCCCGACAGACCCAGACTTGCCTGCAGTACAAACAGGGAAACTAAGGCCTGAAGCCCAGCAATAGCAGAAGGGCAAAGCGTCAGTTGGCTGGCCTGAGATTCCAGGCCTGGAGGTTGGGCCAGGCTGGCAGGAATAGGAAGGGGCCAGACATCAGTTCCAAGGCCCCGGGAGGGAACAGGCTGGCGTCCAGTCCAGAACCGGGCCGGGCCTGGGAGACTGCTGATCCCCCAGTAGAGCCAGGAGGCACCCTAGGACTCCGCCCTGGATGGAGCCTGTCCGCTCCTGCATTCTCTCCCCAACCTTCCAACTCCTGGAGTTCCCAGGCCAGCCGGGGAGGGTGTGACCAGCACCAGGGACAGAAGAAGTTTCTAGCAGCTGCGGGGGCGCCCCTCACAAACAGCTCTGCATATAAAGCCCTCATGGTACCCTAGTAGATCAGAACCATAAATATAGCCATTTACATAGGAGGAAACAGGCTCAGAGAGGGGATGTGATTTGCTCAAGGGCACAAAGCCAGGTGAGTGGCAGGGTCCACATTCCACATTGCGATCCAGACCCATCTGCCTTCAAAGGCCTAGCGCTGGAGCACTTGACCCCAGTGCGACGAGCCCCCCCCTCCCAATGCTCCTGCTTCTCAGCCTTGTCCCCACCTTTGAAGCCCTCCTCGTCCACCATGAGCGTGTAATCCTCGGGGGTCTCCGTCAGGCTGAAGAACTTGCACCTGGTTAGGGGAGGACACACTCAGCCTGGAGGGAAGCGTTCCCTGCGCCCCACTGGCCCGGAACAGACCTCCTGCCGGACGCCTTCCTGTCGGCCCGGTGGTCTAGGACCCGGGCTACCCTCCACCATCTCCAGGATCGCAAACTGGTTTCCGCCTCCCGACCTCTCTGGACCCCTCCCCGATTTCTTCACTCCTCCTTTCCCATCCCGGGACACAGTTGTGGGGCTTCGGGCCTTAGGTCTCTAGGCCGGGCCCTCTGACTCGACGGGAGGCGCCGGAAGGCTCCTGCAGTCGCCAGGAAAGGATCCTCCATCGGACACCGCCCAGGGTTAAGCTCTGCCCGCCTAGGCTGTTTGCGTCCAGCCTGGTCCCGGGACGTGGGCCTCGCGGGGCCGGATCGGCGGCGGTCCCGGGGTGGGCAGTTTCAGGCTGCATGGTGTCCGGAGGAGCTGCCTCCCCACCCGCTCCTGCCCGCCCCGTGGCGACCCTGCTCCCCCTAGCCCTGGCCCGGAGCGACAGCGGAGCCCCGGATCCCATCTGAGCCCCCGAACCCGGGAGCGCACCGACTGCGGCCGGGCAGGAAGAGCAGCTTGATGAGCGGGTGGGTGTAGAGCCAAAGCCCGGGCCGGGCGAGGCTCAGCACCCGCACCCGGTGCTCTAGGATATGCAGCTCCATCGCGGCTCGCGCGGACCGGACCCTGCCGTCCAGCAGACCCAGGCCGCGCGGGGGGCGGTGCGGTGGGGCGGGGCCGGGGCTTAAAGGGGCCTCTGCGCGGACGCGTCCACGCCGCCCGCTACGCCGCGGGCCCTCCCAGCCCCGCCCCGTCCCGTTCCTCGACGGCCACGCCCCACTGGCCGCGCGGCCTATCCGGGGTGGCCACGCCTCCCCCGAGCGCCAGGACTTCACCCCGCTCCTTCCGGGCCTCGTCTGGCTCCGCCCCTTTGGCCGTGGCTCGTGGGTAGCCGGCTGGCCCCACCCCTCCGCGTCTTCCAGGCCCCGCCCGGGTCCCGCGCCCTTCGGGCTCCGCCCTTCCCGTCGGACGCCAGCGGTGCTGGGGTCCGTTGCGTCCTCTCTGCCCTTAGGGGTCATCTCTGCTCTTTGGACCCCCACGTGGCTCTTATAATTGAGATCATGATTAAAGTATTTGACATTCGTAAGGGCCTCGAAACGAACCCGGGCTCAGCTGCAACCAGAGCGCCGCCCCCGACCCCCTGTGGCGCACTGGGGTCCACTGTGCAGACCTTGCGAACCTGTGATTGGCGCCTTCCAAGAACTGTCGGGGCGCTCTTTTCCCTCTTTCCTCACTGTCGGCAGGAGCAGGGCCACTAGAGCTGGCTGGAGTGAGGGTGACAAAATCCTTGTCCCCCATCGAGGGCTGCCTACATTGAGTATTGATGCATACACACCTGCCCCTGCTTAGCGAATCCCAGCGAAGGGGCTGACAAGGGGAAACTGGGGCTGACCTGGGTAGCTCTAACACCTGTTTCTCTTTCTCTCACCCACCTTCCAGAGTAGAAGGCGCCCCACCTGGGACACAGAAAGGGCCCCAGCTGCCTCTGTCTGAGAAACGTGCAGTGGGGCTGGGGGCCCAAGGTGGCCCAGGCCTAAGATTTGAAATCCCCCAAGACTAACAAAGTCCAGAAGTGCTTGGTCCAAGAATGCACAGGGATCAGGCCTTCAGGGATCAGGCCCAGACGGCAAGCCTAAGCCCAAAGCTCACTGGGAACTAGACCTCAGGCCTCTCAAACCTGCAGTCATTATTAGCAGAACCCAGCTGGCAGGGCCCATTCAAACTCACTTCAGGCCCAAGGAGGCTCCCAGCAATGGCAACCACCAAGAATTTGAGGCTTGTGAAGGCCAACCTGGACTCATTTCAAGTTGAAGACTGTGTTCCACTGCAATCTCCATAGGTCTAAGGCTCCAAGGTTGAGCAGGCATCAACCCGCCTAGGCTGGCTTGTGTGGTCAGGCCAAACATGCTATGGGCCGAGTCTGGCCTGAGGGTCCTCAGGCCACAGATCTCAGCAGTCTTGGGAGTCAGTCCTAGGGACTTGGAACCACACAGAGGAAAGTGGGCTGCAACACGCCTCCTGCCTCGTCTGAAGCCTCACGGTGAGCAGATGGACCAGAGCTAACCCCTGAACTCTTCTACTTGCTGGTTCCTGTGGACACCAGGCCACATCCTGGCTGGCCCCTAAAGGGTTGGGGGAGGGGTGTTGCTCCAAGGCTGAGAAGCCCTCCTAGTCATCAATGCAGGTGTAGGTGGGCTGAGAGACACGAAGTGGGAGTCCTGCCCCATAGGTTCTGACCACTGGCCTCCCTAGGTCTAAGTATCTGTCTGCACTGGGACAAGGTGCTCTAGGCCCCAGGCCCTGCAAAGCTTGCAGACTCTCAGGGAGGCTCTCCCCCTCCCCATCCACCCTGCTCCGCCCAGTCAGGCCCAGCTTGGTCAACTGCCAAGAACAGCCGCTATTGTTTGACTGGAAAAGCTGCTTCCTCAGCAGAAGGGGGGCATCTCCTGGGGACACCCTGTCCTCGCCTTCACCAGGTTGTGACCGCTGTGCCTGCCTGGGCCCTCAGTGGTAGAGTCAGGTCACCCTAGGACCTGGATCAGAAAAGCCAGGCCTGGGTGCAAATCTGGCTCTGTTCCTGTCTTTTCCCACTGGGATGCTCTGTTTCCTCACCTGTGAAATGGGGTAATGGTAAACTAGGATAAAGCCCAGGCTGAGGAACTGATCAGGCACAATCAGCCTGGCAATGTGGCACCTACTCAGTCAACAGCAGGTAGCATTTTATCAAGGTTTCAGACTTCTCCCCTCACCCCTGAACCCCCAATGGGGCCTGGGCTTAGTATGTGAGGACATTCACGGTCCCCTACCCTTGGTGCCAGCACCCGACCCAGAGTGAGCTCTCAGAACCTCACTGGGCCTGATGTGGCATTCAGGCCAGGTCTTAGAGGAGGAGACCCTAAAGCCACTTCCTTAAGGTGAAAGGTAAGGACCAAGGTCTGGGGAGCAGACCCCGCTCTGGCCCAGCCCTGATGTCTCTCATCCACGCAGATGGTGGACATGGGGCTGAGGGGATGGGGTAGGGGCCGAGGACCAGAGACAGAGGTGGCCCTGGACTTGGCATCCCCTCTGACAAATGTGCTTGGAGAAGCTCTGACGCTGGGCTGGGGTCCAGGTGTCCCACGGTGCAGGATGGGGGTTCGTAGAGCATGGAGGAGGTATCGGAACCCAGGGTGACACCCTCCCAATCCCAGCTGAATCCCAGCTCTCTACACAAGTCTGTTTATTTCTGTACAAAACCATGTTCCTATTTTACACAAAGAGCACCTCACTCACTCCTGTCAGCATCCTAGCCCTGGGGAGCGTCCCCCAGGAAGAGGAGGGCGAGTGAGGACGCACCCCCGAGGTCCTCTCTTCTGCCTGGCCTAGCTGGGCTGGGCCAAGCTCCACTCTGGAGAAAATAAATAAGAGTCTGTGCTGGGCTAGTCAGACCCACCCTGGCCCAGCCGCAGGGCAGGCAGGCCCTGCAGTATGAGTCCGTGTGAAGCATGTAGATGCGTGGAGACCCCGCCCTGGAGGCCTGAGCTACTGGGGTTACAAGTAAGTGTCTTCACTCTCCTGGGACGTCAGACTTTCCTGGGAGCGGTGGTGGGCTGAGTCCTGTGGGGCCAGGTCCTTTGGGGGCAAGTCCTGTGGGGGGCATGCATCTCCGGCAGCAGCCACCGCCTCGGCTTGGCCCATGGCTGGGGCCTGGTCCAGCTGCCCACTTGCCTTGGCCTGCTTCTGCTGCTCCTTCTGGACCTGCTTAGGTGGCTTGGGCTTGTCTTGGGAGCCAGGAACGGGGGCGTCTGGGGAGAGGCGAATGGATGGTGAAGGTTTCAGGGCTGGCCGGGGACCCGGCTCCGCCTCTAGGATGGCCTTGGCGCCGTGTAGTCGGGGCGGGGAGCGGCACTGTGGCTCACCCCGGGTCTCCTGCCAACGCCGCAGCTGGATGAGGTGCTCGCGCTCGATCTGGCGCTCTGTCACGGGCAGCTCCACCACCTGCAGGATGGCAAGGGTCAGGTGGGCACAGAGAGAAGGGCCTTCCCTCTGCCTGTCAGCCTGGGCTCCTGCCCCCCATCAGCATCCTCCTGACCCGGCCACTAAAGGCTGACCCCAGGAAGGCTGGGGACTGGTCCCTGCAGTTGTCACAAGTCTCCAAGCTGTGTGTCAGGGGAAGCCACTGCTTCAGAGAAGAAAAGTGCACACGATTCTTGGTTCTACTTGCTGAACTACCAGGCAGGAAGGGGAAGGACTTGAACAGAGCAAAACCTGCTTTCTGTGATCAGGTAAGTCTAGGCAAAAGGGAATATACCCGTGACCATGTATAAGGTTGGCAGATGATATTTCTACATACACATTTGTATGTGTTATAAGAATGTCCATACAACTAGAACTAACAAGGGGCAAAGTTATCATAAGTTCTTAGGCATAGTCACTCTGATGGAGCGAGTAGGTGGACCTGTGGGCTCAAGACCATGGTTGCAGGGGACATCAAGCTCAACTGATATAACACATTACACAAAAACATTGTTCTACATCCTACTTTAGTGAGTAGCAATTAGGGTCTTAAAAGCTTGCAAGCGGCCATCTAGATGCAACAATGGGTCTCACCTCATCCAGGGCAAAGAAGAATGAAGAAAATCAAAGACACATGGAAACAATTAGTCTAAAGGACTAGTGGACCATGCAGACCTCAGCCTATATGACCATGACACCAGAAGAACTAGATGATGCCCAGCTACCACTGTCAACTACTCAGAAAGGGATCAGTACAGGAGATCCTGGATAGAGTAAGAGAACAAAGCGGAACAAAATCATAAGGAAGACTGGGTTTACTTGTCTGATAGAGCCTGGTGAGACCACTGAGATTATAGTCCTTAGTTACCCTTCCGGTCTGGACTTGAACTCACTCCTGTGGTTTCCAGCCAAACAGCAGACAGGCATATAGGGTGAACATTTACATCAGATTGATATACTCCTTAGAACAATCATGGGAGAACAGAAGGACAGTATTTGCACAGGGAGACAGCTAAGGGGGCAGGTAGCATAGGAAAGAAGGACATAGGCTAAGAGGTAAGTACAGGGAGGAAGTGGGAAGAGAGCTGTTACGCTGTGGGGAATTTTAAATGTCACGAAACAAAATTGGTATGCACTGCTGTATGAAAAATGAATTTGCTCTGTAAACTTACACCCAAATCATAATAAAATCCTGCTTTTGGCCCACATGACCCCATCGCTGCCAAGAGCAGCTGGTTACCTAGGCTCAGACTCCACTACCACCTGCTGGCTGAAGGGTTTGGGGAAAGTCACTTTATGACTCCCTCTTCCTCATGTGGAAGAAGGGATAAAGTCACAGCCCTCAACAGATGTTCTGAGAAGTGGGTAATGGTTCGCCCCACAGTGGTGTCAGCCCTGTCCCCGGCCTGGCCCTTGCTTTAAAAGAGAAGCTGGCCACCACCGTTACCTCATTACAGCCCCTGAGAGACCGAAACAAAATCACCAAGGGAAAATAATCCTAGTGCTGTGAATGTGGTACCAGGGAGGAAGGGGCCACTAGGGCTCTGCTTCCTCTGCTTCAGTCCCCAGTGTTTCTGAAAAGGAGACGGTGGGGAGAGCCCTGCAAGCCTGTGCGCCCCTCTGCTTGTTCAGACACCGGACCTGGGGCTGCTGAGTACAGAGCCTGGCACAGGTGGCCCACCTGCCAGGCAGAGGGTTGCAGGCCTCCCCGAGAGGCCCCTCCGTCTCTCCCAGAGGGTGGTGAGGGAAGGAGCCTTACCTCCTGGACCAGGAAGGCCTCCTGCATGACCTTGGGGCTGAGGCCCCGCAGCCGCTCGATGGTCTCGTACTGGCCCTGGCAGGCTCTGAGCTTCTCGGGGGAGCCCAGCGCGTGCTTCAGCAGCACCAGCCCCACCCGGAAGATGATCTTGACACCTGCAAGGGAGAGGGCAAGGCGGCCTGCAGAGGCTTACTCTGGAAACAGACGTGGCCTGGGGCCGGGCTGCAGCCCCACCTGGCCCGGTACCTTCACAGAAGAACATGTCCCAGACGCGCAGCACGGAGCTCCAGGGCAGGGTGCGGGCGAAGGCGCACATGAACCACTCGGTCATGTAGAGCAGCGGGTCGATCTTCTGCCGGCTGAGGTGCTTGTGGGCCACGGGTGACACCTTCTGCAGCAGCGAGAAGAGAATCTCCCCGTCCAGCTGGATGGCCTCCTGGAGGGCACAGAGACCATGGCCACCCGAGAGGAACCACACCGACTCCCATGCCAGGCAGACGTGCCTTGCTCCTCGGGAGTATGCTGAGGATGCCAGGGGAATGGGCAAAGCAGACACGCTCGTTCCCTCCGAGGAGGTTACAGTGAAACGGAGGAGCCAGATGTGGGTCACATGAACAAAGAGACTTGGGGGGCAGGAGGATGGGGCCGAGTGTCCAGAATACAGCAGGAATACTGAGCAAGCATGTGCTGCAGGGGCCCTGCTGCCGTTGGTCAAGGACAGCTATCTAAAGGCTGAAAGCTAAAGGGAAGGTGAGATTGTCTGGGTAAGGAGATGGCGGAGGGGGAAGAAGAGGTTCCGGGCTGGGGAAAGATTCTGTGCCAAGGCCTTGCAGGAGGAAGGAACTGAGGAACTGTGATCAGGCCTGGAAGAGCAGAGACTGAAGGCACAGATGGAGGAGAGTGTGGGACGGCGACGCTGCAGCCAGGGAGACGTGAGCCTGGAAGACCTCGCAATGTCAATTCAGCCTGGAAGCTACGGACGGCTGAGGCAGGGGTGGCCGTGGAGAGGAGGGCCTGACAGGGCCCCCGAGGGCACCCGGCCTGGTGCAGATCCTGGGCACTCACCAGTTTCTCGCTGTAGTAGCCGGGCAGGTACTTCTCACAGATCTGTACGAGGCACCAGAAGGCTTGCTGTGGGCGAGAGAGGCATGTGAGGCCTTGTTGCTGGCCGCTCCCTGCCCACCTGCCCACTCCCTGGTGCTACCTCAGCAGGCATGTGCATGAGCAGAACGGCAGCAATGGGCGCCTGTGCCTGACAGTAGCCTTCTTCAGGCCGGTGTAGCGTGTAGGCCTTCAGCACCCGGAATAGGTCCTGCTGGCTGTGGAGAGAATGCGCAGGGTGAGGAGGACAGTTATGACTCTGCCACTCGCCACCACGGGTAAGCATGGCCCACTGGACCAGGCCTGTCTCAGCCTCTGTGCTTCCCTGGAAAGGGGAGATGACCTGCTTGTGGTCACTGAAGGGTCAGTCTTCCACTGTAGCACACTGATTCTCACATAACCACAGGAGGCAGACAGGTTCCCCATTTGACAGTGAGGGCAGAGGTTCAAAGAGAAAGCCAGGGACAGGGCCAAGACAGGCTGCAGGGCAAGGTCACGTGGGAGACTGTAAGTACGGGCCTCTGACACGGCAGGTGACCCTTGACCCGCCTGCCAGCTCTGGGCTGGCGTTGTCCTGGCTGTTTGTCTTGGTCCCCTCGTCCCCACATCTCTCCCCTCCTGAGTGCTACCCAACTCTCCTCCACCCACCCAACTCTCAATCTCCTCCTCTCCAGCCCAAAACTGTTGCCACAAGAGGGCCTGGCTGGGCAAGTTCAAGCCCTCTGGGGAGTATATGATGCAAGCTGCCCTGGAGGCAGAAGAGTCATTGAGAGGACCCATCAGATGGGAGCTCACAAGAGAAATGCTAATGGTGGAGTTTGGGGCACCCAGCTTCTAGGCCCCCAAGATAGCCCCACATTCATTTTGCCACCTCTGCCCTCTAAGTGACAGGGCTTCGGGCCACTTCCCAGTCCCCAAGGCCCAGCCTGCTCACCCATGGCCCCCCCGGGACACAAACATCTCGTGGAAAGGAAACTGGCGGTGCAGGTCACGCTCAATCACGTCCAGCCACTTGGGGTCCCCGGGTGACATGTCCAGCTCCTGGAAGTAAGCGGCACACATTACAGGCTGGAGGCCACTCTTGGCAGGGTGTGGCTTCCCCAGATATTGGAGGAGCCCCTACTCAGGGCCATGCCCACCCAGTCCCCACATGGGACTCAGCCTTCCTCAGGACAGGTTAGGAAGCCTGGGCAGGGACAAAGGGGCAAGGGAGGAAGAGCTGTGGAAACCCAGGGGCAGTCCTAGCTCCAGGAAGACCCCTGTGGACAAGGGTGTCCATCACATCTATGGCTGGACATCACCTCCAGGTACTTCATTCAGGACTCAGTTACATACATACATCATGTCCTTAGGATGAAAGGCAATAGCTACCCTTGCTACCACACTGGTAGATGTCACTGAGTCCTCACCTCAAGCCCAAAAGACAAGTCCTATCATTATAGCCTTTTCACAGATGAAGAAACTGAGGGTCAAAGAAAAGTCACTTGCTCAAAGTCCCACGGATGGAAAAATGGTGGAGCTGGGACTAGAAGCCAGGTTTGGCACGAGCGTCCTACCCAACTCCCTGTGCAGGTGTTCGAGAGTGGTGATGATAAGGGTATAATCACTTGTCTGGGGTGGGGTGGGGTGGGGTCTTCAGCACAGAGCACTGTCTGGAAGGACATTAACCTTAGACTCATCTCTGGATACTGATGTTTCAGGAACGTTTTACTCTTTTCCTTGAACTCCCACGAACATTTTAGCAGGAGTATCATTTACAGAAACAGTTAGGCTATCACTAAAAGCAAGTCATCTCATTTGACACATTCTAGGTCTTGATTTGCATGTTGGTTACATGGCTACATATTATGTATCAAAATCCCCTGAATGGCACACTTAAGAGCTGTGTGTTTTACTCTGTATAAATTCACACCCCAGTTAGAAAGAGAGAGAGAATGAAAGAGAGGAAGGGAAAGAGAGAAAAGGAAAGAAAACCAGAGCCGGGAAGCAGCTTAGAACAAGTTGGCTATAGGGCTGGGGCAGCTTCAGAGAAGGCTCCTTCCTTGAGGAAGGCCATGTCCTCAGCAAACACATCAATGGGGGCAGACCCAGCCTTGGCCCTGAGCAGTAGTGACTTCAGACAAGTCCCTTTCTCTCTCGTGCCCCCAGCATTAAACTAAAGAAACTGGGGTACTAGGTATTTGACTAGAAAGAGTACCGTAGGAAAAAGGCAATGGCGTGTTCAAGGCTCAGCAGCACATGGAACGGCCTGCGGGCCTCCAGAGGGCCCTTGAGCAGGCCCACAGCAGGGGCCGGGGGTGAGACCTGTAGACCCCACACACCTTCAGGTGGGGGCCTGTGGGTGTCCTGTTTACACCCCACAAAACTGGCCCAGGACTAGGAACTGTCTAAACACAATGCAGGTTTGCTCTTGTAGGAAAGGGGAGGAGGGCCCCACGCATTCTCCTGCTGGTTCCCATGACCTGGGGTCCCAAGAACCCAAAGTCAGCTCTTAGGGTATTTTCACCTGGTACCTCAGCAGCCCAAGGTGCTGGATCACCCATGGATTAGTGAGAAAGAAAAAGGGGTGGCTGAAAGGCCTGGGAGGAGAGGAGGGCACCGGGAATCAAAGGCAGGGAGGCGCTACTGGCAGGTGAGTCACCTGTCTAGGCCTGCAGTCTTGGTGAGTGCCTAAGAGGCACTGGCGCCATCATGAGGTAAAGCCAGAGAGGAAAACCAGGTACAGATGTGAAAGGTCCCGTCAGGCCAAGGCAGGCAGAAGAGAGAGCCAGTGCGGGAGGAGACGGGGCTTTCTGACTCCTGCAGCTGGGCCTAGCCGCCTGGGTCTGGGGTGGTGAACGGACAGCCTGTGGGGAAGAACACAGCACCACACACATGCTGCCACCACCATCCTCCTCGCCATACCCCTGCCCCTGGGTTCACACACCCACAGCAGCCACAGGGAACTTGTCATCCCTGCCTGGCCCTCCTGCTACCTCAGGGCCAAATGCTGCTGGCCAACAGCTCTTGGCATCTCTGTCACCAACAGGCCAAGTCCTCCCAGGTGTGCTCCCAAACTCTCTCAGTCCTGCAGGCCTCACCGCTGAGTTTCAGTGCATACAGCACCTCCCATCTAGGATGCCTTCTCTTAGCCAATCTACTTACTCAACTAGCATTGTTCAAGACCCCACGGCAGTGGCCAATTTCTCTCTCTACCCACCACTCCACACACATGCAACACACATAGGTCCTTACAAAGGGTGTTACTCATACAAAAGGTGGGCTCACGTGTGCTAAAATGGGGACCCCAGGAAGCTGGCTGTCCTGCCCAGTTCTAGGCTCTCATATGCCTGTGCACTGGCAGCCTGAGAAGGGAGAATAGGGCCTGCCATCTAGCTGTGACCCCTGAAACTAGCCCCCAACCCAGGATGCAGCCCCTTGAAATAGGGGGAGGATGGAAAGACTAGGAGGAAAATCCTGGAGTTAGAAGCTGCTCATGTGGACCCTGGCATGATGCTCTGAGGGGCAGTCTGGTCACCTTGATTCAGAATTGCCCCAGGCAGTCACTCTACCTGCCCTCCTACCCACTTTAGGACCAGGTGCCACCAGCAAGCAGTTCTTGCAGAACAGGTCAATAGCAGAAGTTTAGCGCCCCCTGCCACGTCCCTCTCCGAGAATGGGTTTGGCAGGACAGGGGTGTTCACTGAAACATGAAGCATATCAACAAGTAGCTGGTAGCTGGCAGCTCTGTCTCCCATGCTGCCTGTCACCAGACCTACTCTAGCTGGTAGGTCTGAGCAACCCCCAAGAAGCCAGCTGCAAACCAGTTCCCTAGGGGAGCAGGCTGGAAGAGCTGCCCCGTCCAAGTAGGCAACAAGAGGCCCAGTGAAAGGAGGAGTGTTTCATCTAGGGGGGTAGGGGGCAACAGTGGGAGCTGGAGGACATGGCTGCAGAGGGGACCCTTACTGACCACTGACTTAGGTCCCATAAGCAACACTGGTGAACCAATCACAAAGCAGCCCTGTCTGGCCAAGCCTGGACAAAGCAGGAGAAAGATTAGAAGGTGGGAGGACAGGAAGTGCTGAGGGTCCTGTGGTCTTGCTGGGCAAGCCCCGAAGGTCCGAGCTCAGGACTCAGGCAGTCACTGAAGCAGTCTGAGTATTCCCTCCTGATGAGCAGGTGCTGCGAGGTGGTACACTAAGCCCAAGAGAGCAGAGCTGGGTAGCTATCAGGAGAAAGAGGTGGAATGCCAGGTGGTAAATCTGTCCACCCTCTGAGGACTGCTCAGGTCTATAGCTCAGATGAGCAGAGTCTCCAGCAGTCACAGGGATGTAGGATTAAGCCAGTTTGGCTTCTTGGCACCTGGGCAGTTGGGCACTTGACTCGTGGTCCCATCAACTCCTTATACTGCTGAGATTCAGGTGAGCACATCAAGGACCGTCATGAGGAGCATGTCAGGAAGGAAGGAAGGAAGGGGAGGGAGAAAGGGAAACTCACGTCAAACTTTCCAGGATTCTGCTGCAGCTTCACCTTGCCTCCCGATAGGTACTGCCAAGCACGGCCCCGCAGAGAAGGCGGGATGCCCTTCTGGCACCGCAGACGGATCTGAAAGCCAAACGGAGGGCTGTGCCCATGTACCCACCACCCAGGCAGCTCCCCCAGAAGTTGCGTGCCATCCTAACCTCAGCAGGGACATGGTGGGCCTTCACTGGGCACACAGCAAGAGCAGAAAAGGGGACAAAAGAGAACTTTCTTGCTGCTGCTATAAGCAGTTCTTATGGGGTGGGAAGAGGTGGGGTGCATGTCTGCAAGTAGATAAAATTGCCTCCAGGTGAGAGTGGAGGTCCCTTGACCCCACATTCCTGTGTCCAGGGACAACACAAGCCTTCCTGAGGTCTTCCAAGAATTCTGAATCCCCCATAACCATTTTTTCCCCAAATAGCTGTGATCTTTTGCAAGTAGGTCACCAGGCCTTTTGTCCGAGGAGCCTCTGGGTAGATTCCAGCTGCCAACTTTTTTCGGTTAGAAGCCCTGCACTTAACTGCTTGCACCACTCAAGGACTCCTTCATTTTTTTAATCAAAATGGAATCATACGAGTGGCCGTGCCCCTGCGATATCGCCAGGAGAGATCAGCAGAGCTACAGTCTCTATGAAAATAGCTCACAGCGGAGTGGGAAGGCCCCTAGGCATGATGTGGCTTGGGCAGGTTGTGGGGATGTTTAGATTGGCAGCCTAAAACCTAAAACCCACTGCCGGCAAGTTGGATTCTGACTCATAGTGACCCTATAAGACAACAGAACCATCCTATGGGGTTTCCAAGGCTGTAAATCTTTACGGAAGCAAACTGCCTCATCTTTCTCCCATGGAGTGGCTGGTAAATTTGAACTAGCCACCTTTCAGTCAGCAGGTGAGTGCATAACCATTGTTCCTACAGCCAGACTAAAGGGAAGAAATCTCAGCATGCCTAGGTGGCATCCTAACACCAGTCCTGGGGAAAATAGCACCAGTCTTCCCCAGCACTCCCAGATTGGAAGGGGTGAGGGAGAAGTGCATGGGGCAGCTCATGACCCAGGATTCCTCGCTCAATTCGCTGCTCTTACAGAAAAAGGCAGCAATTGCCAAAACCCAGTATGAAAAACCATCATGTCTTCCACAAATGGGGAAACTGAGGCATAGAGTGGAAAACCATTTAGGTCACATAGTCAGAGACCCCACTACCTCCTACCTGCATCACTCAGGCTGGTGTGGTTCAGCCTGGAGTACTTTCCATTTTACCGACCTCCTGGAGCTGAACAGGGAAAGTAGGCTGGGCTGCCCTGACCGTCCTCCTCAATCTCAAGGTCAAGGGTCAAGGAGGGTGAGGGCAAGAGCCAAAGTACCACTCCAATGGAATGGGGTAGGGGGGTGTCGAAAGGAATTGGTCAATGACATGCCCCCCAATGCATCCCCTTCTCTACACGAAGCAGTCTGGCCTGGGATGAAGGAAGATGGGGACCACAGGGTAGCAGAAAGAACACATCACATGACTGGGGGTTTGAATTCAGCTTTGTACACAACAGCTGTGTTGACCTTGAGCTAATCACTTCCTATCAGCTGTATGACTGGAATGATAATACCTACTCTATATAGTTGCTGATAGGCTTCTCCCAGCCTGAGCCTGACACTATGTGGGCTCAATCCATGATAGCTTCTTCTCTACCCTCCATCCCAGGACCGTGGCTGACACGGGAGCCGCAGGGCTTCAGGCTTACACCTAACTTTCCCTCACCTGGAAACCCCCTCAAACAGTCCTGGTAGAAGCTCTCAAGGGAGAAGGAGGCATAGAAGCCCTTGTTTTCCTGATGACAGTGCAAGAGAAAACTTTCCAAAGGTCAGAGAGTCAAGAACTGGAGGAAGAGCAGCTGTGGAGGTCACAGGAGCCAAGCTGGGGCTTCTAGGATTGCCTGGAAAGGGGTGAGAGGAAGGTGATTGCCCCAGACCCTGGGAACTGTTTCCTGCTGCTGTGGGGCAAAGGTTTCTCCTTAAGGAAGCCACTCTGGGCAGGCTTTGGTAGAGGGGTGGCCCAGAGCCACAGGCCCTCAGGGGGCCCCAGGGCCAGGTCCTGTCTTAACTGGCCCCTCATCATCACAATCTCCAAGGAGCCCCAGAGGACCTTCAGTCAAGGAAGGTTCTCTGAGATGCCCCGCTCTCACTACATGGGCATCCAGAGCTCCGGGAGGCTCTCCTCCGTGGGGGCTGAGATCCAGGAGCATGGTGAACCTTTCCCTCTATGGCTTTCGTACCCTCCTCAGCACAGTTGGGCAGGAGATGGTAATCTCCACCCTGCCTGCCTTAGGGAGAGAGCGATGGTGGGGATCAGGTAGGATAAAGCATGAGAAAGCACTTCAACAAGCAGAAAGCCAGAGCATTATCATTCTCAGAGTCTAGGTTTTGGTCTCTGATGGCAAGTGAATGAAGCCACACCCTTGCCTGCTGAATCTGGGAGGGCAGGGTCACAGCCTAACCAGACCCCAGGGCAGAGCCCCATAGGGAAAGATAGAATTTCAGCCACAGCCTGCCACCCTGCTGTTGAGTTCTGACTTTGACACAGCTGGGCCTGGGGAGGGCATCCTCAGGAGGGCCCGGCCCTTCTACTGGGGCCTTGGGATGAGTCCAGGAGAAGGGGTGGGCCTGGGCCCACTTCCCGAGACAGGTATTGCCCTTCCTGAACAAATGAAGGGCGAGCCCAAGCCTCCACGGCCAGGAAGAGCTCCCAAGGCAGGGCCAGTGCAGTCACAGCTGAGGCGGCATCAGCAGTCCCCTTCCCAAGCGGAGCAGAGGGCTAGGGCCCCTGGGTGGGGTGGGGTGGGAGCAGCACTCCTGTGGTGGCTTCTGCTGGGCAGGGCAGCCCTCGGGCTCTTTGCCAGGGAAGCCAAGGGGAAGAGGAAGTGCTGCTCGCTGCTCTGCTGAGAGGAGCTCTCCAAGGCTTCCCTCTGGAATCTGTCTGCAGGGGAGGCTGGGGCAAGGCCAGAGCACAGTCCCTGCTAGCCACAAGTTAGCACAGCAGACAGCTGGAGAGCTAGCTCAAGCCAGACAAGAGCCTGAGGGGTGGGGAGGCAGGAAAACAGACCTCAGAGTTAGGCAGGAAGAGCTGAGTAAAGCTCAGAAGAAAAAGACAAGGTTTTCTAATAAGCAAAGAAAGAAAAACGAGTGCTCCACAACCCACGGAGAACAAGAAAAGGCCCAAGCCGGGGTGGGCCTCTCCTCCCGTGGTCACAGGGCTTACTGTCTCTGAGGCACTGCAGGCAGCACCTCATGGGGGCTGTGCAACAGGATGGTCACTCCCACCTGACAAGGGAAGCTGAGGGGTGAACTGACTTGCCCGGTTCCACAGCTAGCCATGGGCGAGGACACAGGAAGGGAGTGGAGCTGGGCCCAGCCCACATCTGGCCTGCGGTCTGCACTTTCTGCCATGCCCTGCAGCCAGCTGTGCCAGCATGGACCAGATCAGGGCTTCAAAGCAGTTCAAGCCAGTTCAGTCATGGCGGACAAAGAGAAACCAGGAGACCCAAATTTAAAAAATTTTAATCATTTGGATGAACGAGAATGATAACCAGAATGGAAAAAATTATAGGTTGAAGCCCTGGAATAGGAGACTCAGAAGAAGTGTATAGGCGTAGGCCCCTTTCAGGAGCCTGATCTGGGAGACTGGATTAACACTGAAATTGCAGAGAGTGACACAAATCCAAAGCAGTGAGATCAGCCACCATCTTTGAGCTTGGCATCACAGTTTCCTACTTGGCAGGCAAGAGACTGGTTGCTATGCAACAGGAATGCTAGCCTAAGAGGGAGATTCAGTTTCTGGTAGGGCTTCGACCTGTAAATTTTTCCCATTCTGATTACTGCTCCCAACCCACTGCCATCAAGTTGATTCCGACTTATGTTGTTGCTGTTAGGTGCCGTTGAGTCGGCTCTGATTCACAGTAACCCTGTGTAGAACAGAATGAAACACTGCCCAGTCCTGCATCAGCCTCACAATCGCTGCTATGCCGGAGCGCATCACTGCAGCCACTGTGTTAATCCATTGCAATGATTACGACTCATTGTGACCCCCATTGGGTTTCCAAGGCAGTAAATCTTTACAGAAGTAGATTGCCCTGTCTTCCTTCTGCAGAGTGGCTGGTAGGTTTGAACTGCCAATCTTCTGGTTAACAGTCAAATGCCTTAGGCACTGTGCCACCAGAGCTCTATATTTATCGCTACAGCTCACCCAAATTTTAAAAATTCAGGTCGGGTCCAAGCCCTGCTAGACCAGTGTGTCAACTGACCATAACGGGAAACTGTGCGTAGATAAGCTGTAAGGCTCTGGATGTCTCCTCATGCCAGCTGGAACCCCTCTGAGCCAAGGAGTAAGTAGTACCTGCAGAGGACGGCCAAGGGCATCACCACAGACACCAGTGGCGGGTAAGGACGATGCTATGGCAGAACAAAGTTAGTGCCTGACTCGAAAAGGACCACTGAGTGATTTCATTTTTATAAGATGACTTTTTACAAATGAGGCTACTCTTGCTTTTGCTTTGGTCAAGAGGAAGAAAGAAGTCTGCAAATTAGGCTTTGCAATAACCATTACAATAATGCAATGGTTACCCATAATGCTTCTAGTGACTAATTTTTTTTTCCTCAGAAGTGACCTGGCCATGTCCTTCTTCCTAGTCTGTCTTAGTCTAGAAGCTCCACTGATACCTGTCCAGCATGGGTGACCTTGCCAATATGAAATACCAGTAGCACAGCTTTCAGTACCACAGCAAGACTCAAGCCACCACAGTATGACAAACTTGACAGACGAGTGGTAGAACAGTTGCAATGGTTAAATACTGAATGGACCATGGGCTGCTAGAACAAACAAATTGGTCTCAAAAGAAGTATAGCCAGGATGCTCCTTAGGAACAAGGATGGCCAGACTTTATCTTTCATACTTGTCAGAAGGGATCAGTCCCTAGAGAAGGGTATCATGCTTGGTAAAGCAGAAGGTCAGTGAAGAAGGGAAAGACGCTAACGTGATGGACTGACACTGTAGCTGCAACAATGAGTTCAAACGCAGGACTGGGCAGTGTTTCGTTCTGTTGGACCCAGGGTCGCTATAGTTGGAGCCGACTTGACGGCACTACCAACAACAACACTGCAAAGGTTAAGAGTGTGGGCTCTGCGATTATAGTTCCACAGGCTACTTAACCTGTACCTCATCTGTAAAGAAGGGCTACTACCACCACCAATCTCATCAGTGTGTTGTATTAAGGACTGTCCAAGTAAAATTAAAGGCACACTGCAAATGTTCAACACACATTAGCTATTACTAGTATTACAAAGTCCTCCTTGATAGGTGGTAAGCAGACTTAAGGACTTCTTCCAGGGGGGCCTGGAGAAAAGTTGTCTATAAGGCCTTTGGGCTAAAAGTGGCGTTGAAGTTTGACTCCAGGACAAAGTTCTACAAGCATCTGAAGTCATGTGTGAGGGCCTGAGTGAAGGCCAGGCCCTGCCCTTCAGCCAGCTTCTGTTCCCCATTTCAGAGATGGCAGATGGGAGGACACCTAAGGCAGTTTGGCTGTTCAAAAGCCCCTGCTCCCCCAAGCTAATGAGGTTCTTCCCTTTTCCTCCACCTCCCCAAGCTGCCAGCTCCTAGTTCAAGGGCCAAGACCCAGGCCCCCTCACCTTTTTGTGCTTCTTGGCCATCCATTTGTCCCAGTTGTTGAGCATATCCAGCCACTTGGACTCCCTCTGCCTCAGCACCTCCAGAGGGACTTCCTCCAGCCTGTGGAACAGAGGGCAAGACCCATCAGAGATGACAAGAAGAGAAAAGGCCCTGGCTTAGGCCCTAACCACCAGCCTGATTAGGGCGCCATTCCCTTGCCTGTTCCCCCACCCACACTGTTTCCTTGGGAGCTGCTAGGTCATCAAGTCCCTAAAGCAGATGAGAAAAGGAATGCTGCCCCTGCCAGAAGGTACAAACCAGAAAGGCATCAATTCTAGTACCCACTCCTACAATGCACCAAGGAGCCAGGGGTTACCACGCCCCTCTGGGGCAGAGGCCTAAGCCAGGGGTTACCACGCCCCTCTGGGGCAGAGGCCTAAGTGTCTTATGAACACACCACACCCATCCTGAATCTGACTTGGTAAATAAGCCTCTTCAAAGGGCCTATGTGCAAGTTGCAGGACTGGGCACAAGAGCTAGTCAAACAAGTATAGAAATAACATGCTCACCTCTTCACATTAGCAAAACTAGTTACTCATAGTTTCCCCAATTACGCCCCAGCCTTTTCCCACCTCTTACTCTTTACTCATGGCAATCCTTTTGCTGGAACATTCTTCAAGTTGTCTCTACCTATCAAAATCCTACACACACTTCAGAGCTCCGTCAAACACCATCTCTTGTATTTGTTCAACATCTATTTACTAAGCCACTATCAGATGCCAAGTGTCATTCTAGGGCTAGGGTCCTGGGTGGGCTGTGGGGGAGCACTCCTATGACAAGAACAAAATCCCTGCCCTCATGAAGTTGACATTCAAGGGGGCACTGGGAGTGGGGAGAACACCTTGACATTAAGACTCTTCCTAGGGGAAGGGAGGGTAAACCACTAACAAGAGGGTAGACACATATTAACTTGGTGAAAGGGCAGGTTAAAACCAAAAAAAGTGTGAATACTCTATGAAAAAAAAAAAAGGAATACTGTAAAGTGAGTCTGAGGCTGTTTCTATACAGTATCATGAAAAATAGGTATTTATTGACTATCTTACATAGCGATAATGGCATGAGTACAAAAGAAATTGAGACATGAAACAGCCCAGTGAGAAAGAACTAAGTACAAACCAAAATGGTCAAGGAGTGAGAGGAGATACCATCATAAATATGATTTTCCTCTTCTTAGGCAAGTATTTGTGAATAAATTACTTTAAGTCCTTGATTTTATTAATAGCATGGAGAATTCCTTCATGTGCCAAATGTTTGTGAGACCATTGACTTAAATTTTCATTTATTGCATATCTATATCCCCACCAGACCATGGGTCCACGAAGACAGCAAGCCTTGATTTATTCATGACTCTATGCACACCTCCAAGAACACGGCTTAGCACATAGTGGGTGCTCCATAAATTTTTATTAAATGAATATGTGAATGCAATGCATCCACAGGCAAAACACATGACATGGCTTTGCTACAGAGAACTTAACATCTACACAAAGAGAAGGATGAAGGACACTATTAGTTCAGCATTTACCACATGCCAATTTACCTATAAGGAGCGCTGGTGGTGTAGTGGTTAAAGCATTTGGCTGCTAACCAAAAGGTCCATGGTTCAAACCCACCAGCCATTCCACACAAGAAAGATGGGACAGTCTGTTTCCATAAAGATTTACAGCCTTGGAAACCCAATGGGGGTCACTATCAGTCAGAATTGACTCGAAGGCAGTGAATTTGGTTTTGGTGAGTTTTCATATATTAAATAATTTACCATTTGTAAGGACCTCATATGATAGCTAGTATTCTCATAATTTGTGAGCAATACTATCTGCTTGTGTGTGTGTGTGTGGGTGTGGGTGTGTTGGTAAATAACACCAAAAACCAAACTTACTGCCATCGAGTCGATTCTGACACATAGTGACCCCCATTGGGTTTCTGAGGTAGTAAATATTTATGGAAGTAGATTGCCCAGTCTTCCTTTGTGGAGTGGCTGGTGGGTTTGAACTGCCAACCTTCTGGCTAGCAGTCAAATGCCTTAGGCACTACGCCACCAGAGCTCCTTGTGGTAAATAATATGTGGGAGAAAAAAAAGACCCACCCCTGGCAGGCAGATGGGCACCAACTCAGGCTAAGGCAGGCTGGGGCACACATCCCTGGCTTAGCCAGACGGCATGTCTAGTGAGTGGGCTTCCTCCAAGGAGTGGGTCTCCGGGAATTCCTGAGTTCATATACTTCTGGGGGGCAAAAAGGAGGAAACTAGCATTTGCAGGCTGGACACTACATATAATTTCTTATATGCCTACAATGTGTGCATCTCTCTCTATACACACACACACACAAATACACACACAGACTTGCTCTCTTCTTAAAAGTATTTTTAAATAGTATATTATGGATCTTTGTAATTTCTTCTTTTATGTATGTATGAATGTATATTATTTATATTTTCCCAATTAAAAAAATACTTGACAGTATTAACAAAATATTAACGACAGATAAGGAAACAGAAGCTCAGAGAGGTAAAGCAAGGGCTAGGCAGAGAATCTTGCTCAGAGCCAAACACGAAATCAGTACAAAAACCCAGACTCAAGGCAGGTCCCTAGTCAAGAGCCCATATGCAGTTTTGTCTCACATCCCAGAAGCAGCCTGGTATAGAGGCACTCAAGGCAGCTCAGAGGAGGTGCTCAGCACTCAGGAGCAGGACGTGATAGTGCTGGGCCGGTCCCAGACCTTGACTCTCTTTCTGCCGGAAGGAAATGCGCTGCTGTGACTTTTACTTGTTGGAGAGGCCCTGGCTGAGCTGGAGCCTGAGAGTCACAAAAGGGAGGGCAGGTCCTCTTTCTTCAGACAGCTTTATCTGGGGAAAAGCACAAGCCCCAGAGCAGCCTCGGCACTGAAAAGCTGAGCAGGGTCTATAACCTCGGCAAAGTGGCCCCCCTCAACACACTGACAAAAACCACTTCCTCTTCAACTTCTGCCCCTCTTAGAACCTACAGACAGAACCAGGATATGAAGACATTCTCTTCCTCCACCTTCTCAAATGGGAGAAAGTCAGAGATCAAGCCTTTAGGTCAGGTAATTTACAAAGGGACACTCGTTTCCAGGCAACACCCAAACACAAAGGGAGCGGAAACCAAAGGCCCACGCATCCCAGGCCCTGCTGTCTTCTACCACCTACAAAGCACTCGCTTATGTAACAGGTCAGAGGACAAATCTTCTAGTTAACTGAGCAAAAGGGGGGTGCCCACACTGAGTCAACAGGAAGTCCTAGCAGTCTTGGCTCTAGGTAACGTCTGATCCAATCCTTCCAATGCACAGATGAGAAAACTGAGGCTCAAGGAAAGAAAGGCTTATTGCCATTTTATAAAAAAATTCCCATGCAATTAAATATATACCCATTTGCCACCTCAACCCAGGTCTGTCTTTGATAAGATCTGACAACAGGCCCTTCGAAATACCCATTCATGAAACTGCAGAAATACAGAGAAACTCCTAAAGTTGAGTGTTCTTTTAACTGATGCCAGATAACAGCTTTGGCAGTTTCAAAGCCCCAACATCCAACCTCAAACCACAATTTCAATATGGTACAAAACAAATTACCGTATTTCCTGGATTCTAAGACATCACTGATTTCAAACTGCACCATTCTAAGGAAAAAAAAAAAAAAACACCTCTACTGCTTTAAATGTAGATGCCAAGTGAAAGATCCATTTTGGTTTTTAAAACCTGAAATTGGAAAAATTCGGAGGAAATATGGGCATTCGAATGCCTTCTCCTCCAACACCACACAAGTTAAATCTACCCAGAAGTGATAAGAAGGAAGACACCAAGGTCTGGCTGTACCCCTGCACTCAGCTCATCACATGCTCACTAACTGCATGTAGACTTCCTTTATGCACAGGATGTACTCCTCCAAAGTTGCAAGGTATCCATCCTTTAACAACAATTTCCATGTAGTCAGTCAGGGTCTCAGAAGGCAACTGATGCAACTATTATCTAATATAGAAATTCCTTCTACAACAGCCAAGTTGCTTCCCTTCTGTGAGCCTCAGTTTCCCTATGTTTGGACAGCTAGCATTATAAACTGAACTTCAAAAAATGTTGCCTAGAGAGAAGCTGTGAGATGATGTTGGGGCCAAGAGGGATTCCTACAAACAGTGCAATGGTGCCAAGGCCTGAGGTGGCTTTCTCCTGACAGTAGAGGGAGAGCATGAGCCAGCCTAAAGGACCAAATGGCCCATGGGGGATAGCTCTGGTCTGAGGGCCTCACTTAAGTTCCAGAAAGCCCCTCTTTCCTTAAGGTGGCCTGACAGAACCTCTGCAACCAAGAGTCTAATGAGAACCGTCTTAGCTGCCCCCATGCTTGGACACCTCCAGGGTGGGCCTCAATACTATCAGGTCAAGCCACCCTATTATTGAACAGTCTCAGCTGTTGAAAGTTTCTTTGCCATGTGTTATGGACTGTGTCCCTAAAAAATATGTGTTGTAAATGACTACCTCTATGCCTGTGATTATAATCCCATTTGGGAATGGACTGTTAACAAGACAGGATTAGTGTAGGGTGTATCTTGAGTCAATCTCTTTTGAGATATAAAAGAGCTTAAACACAAGTTAGCAAGCTGAGATGGGAGAAGAGAGATACCAAGCCACATGAAGATCACTCAGGAGCAGAAATGCAAAGACACAAGGACTTTCCCCAGGACCAACAGAGAGAGGAAGCATCCCCTACAACTGGCAGCCCTGAATCCAGACTTTAAGCACTCTACACTGTTAGAACACAAATTTCTGTTTGTTAAAGCCATCCATTTGTAGTATATCTGTTACAGCAGCATTAGATGACTAAGACATCATGTTATGCCAAAATTTTCCTGATACCTTCTGAATAGTCTCAACATTTCCCTCTGAAACTAATCACATTCCTCTCATACCACATACACACGCACACATACACTTATCTCTTGTCATGCACCTGTCCCTACCTGGATGCCCTTTCTCCTCCTTGCTCCAAGTCACAGTAACCCTTTAGGACCCAAGATAACAATAAAAACCGTAACTTCAACAATAACAACAGCAACAGAAGCAA